GCTTGAGGTTCCCCTTGGACCCACCTTAGAGAAGCTGCTACGTGCTTTTAACATCTGCATATCTCTGGTGCACCCTGCCTCCCTTCATACCCTGGTTTGTCTACTGTGGTTTTTAAGGTTTCGAAGGTACCCCGAGTCTCTGCATTTGTTCAAGTCTCTCATGAGCCTGAAAAGATCAGCCTCTGGGACTGAGTTAGGGTGGTACTATGTCGCCCCCAAAGAGAGTAGAGTCTTGTCCTACCCAAAACTTGGGCGTTTTAGGGACTGGACTGGCAAGTTCTTCTGGGTGAGGGTGCCTTCTAATTTTGCAGCTCCGCGTAATTTCAGAGAGATTCGCACCAACATGGCTGGGGTCACAGTCTCTCCCTCTGAACCTGCTCGTGAGACAGAAGCTTTTAAAGCTCTGTAGGGAGCAGGGACAGGTGACTCCAAGTTTCCCAAGGTCTAGCTGCCCAATTCTATTTACATCGTGGGTAATGAGCAGCTATCTGCCATGGGTTTGTGTCGTACACATGAGTCTGGTAAGTTTTTTCTGTCTTCTGCCTTTTTCTGTTTTCTTTCCCTTATTTGACTTTTTGTCATTTTGTGTTTTTAGGCTGTGACAAGTTGGGCAAACGCATGCTCGGGCTGGCTGATAATTGGAAGGACCCTCTGATTGCCATTCCTGAGAACCCTCCTCAGCTCTTTGATACGCTGGAGGTGTTTGCGGGTTCCCTGAAGGGCGAGGTGCGTTTGCCTCCGGCTGAGCTGCGGGCTGTTGTTGGCACCGTGGCTACTGGCGAGCGTGCTGTGTCCAGCCGCGCTGAGCCTGAGCCTTTTTCTTCTACTGTTGGGAGTAGGCGTGATACTCGCCCTGCTCCTCAAAAGGTGGCTTCAGATTCTGAGGCGTTAGTGGCGCCTGCTGCTTCCTTTGAGAAGCAGTCTGTCGCGGCTTCCGGCCGGGTGGCACCTCAGACTTCTGCTTCCAAAAGGCCACGTGAACAAGCTTCTGAAGAACCAAAGGCTACTGCCGATGATTTTGCTAACAGTGTTCTCCAGTTTCCTTCTGAGGGGATTGAGACCACTGCTACGGGTGAAAAACCTGTTTCCTCTGCTGAGCATGTTCTGCTCTTTCCTACTCCTACTGATGATACCGCTGCTGCGAAGGGCACTGCCGTTCCTTCTGTTGCAGCTACTGATTTTCAGCTCCCTGATGAATCTGTCCTGGAGCTTCCAAGGTTTCCGCCGCGTCCCTAAGGGTTGAGGGGTCGGCTCCGAAGCGCTACCCAGGGTGCGCTCTCCCAAGCTACGGGCTCTCTCCAGCAGGATCGTCCAGTGATTGACCTAGAGGACGATCCTGTGTCTTCTGCCCCTGCTAGGGATGAGCCAGAGGCGAAAAAGGCTCGCACTTCTCTTGGCCCAGACCCTCTTGCTTCAACGTCTGCCAACACTGGATTTCCAGGTAGGAACGTTGGTGGGGGAGACACTCAGAACTCCAGTGAGCTTAACCGCTGCGTTCATCAGTTCTTTGGTGATGCCTTTGAGAATCCTCTTTCTGCGTCCTCACTCTCTGATGGAGGGACTTTTCGCCCTACTGGGGCCATTGAGTTTGCTGAGGTCCCTATTGACATTCATCTTCGCCCAATACTCTATCCTTCTGGAGCTGAGAACGCTCCTTTTCGGCCTTTGATGAATGTGAGGGCTGATGAGTCTTTATTTGTAGACGACCCTCAGAAGGGTGGTACTCTAGGATACCGCCTGACTTAGGGGGTTCGTCTCCCTGCGGATTCTGCGCGCAGCTCAGTCAGCCTTCCAGCAGCTACTGCTTGCCATGATTTGCAGAAGGTTAGTCTCTGCTTTTGGCTTTTCTTTTTCTCGTTTCAGCTTTTCTCTGCTTGTTTTGTTGCTGCTGTCTTGTTTTACCTATTATTATGCTTTATTTTTATTATTAATTTTTTTATATTGTTAACTTCTTTTGTTAACTCCCACTTTGGCTGACTCTTCTTTTCTGCTTTTCTTGCAGCTTGTTATATCTGTGGGGGATTTGTCCAATGCCTTGCTGTTAGTGGAGAAGGAATATCAGAACCAGGGTATAACTCTTTCTCAGAAGACTCTGGAGGTTCAACAGGCTCAAGCTGAGAGGGATGCTATGGCCAATGAGGTGACTCCGCTAAGGGAGAAGGCGGATGCCTTGCAGCTCCAATTGGGAGAATTTCAGCTCACTCAGACCAAGCTGAAGGACTGCGAGGAGCAGTTGGGGACTTCTCAAGCCAGGGTGAAGACGTTAGAGGCGGAGGTGGCAGATTTAGAGGCTGCACATGCTGTTGCGCTGGAGGCTGCTAGGAGAAAGGCTCTCAAGTCTTTTGCACTCTCTCCTGCTTTCGCTAAGCTCCTGGCTGACCGCCATGATGGAGGATGGGAAGCTGCGGCTCGATGCGTTAGCAGCTTGTATGGTGAGGGTGAAGAGCAGCAGGCTCGCTTTAATGCCTTCTGGGCTAAGGTTAAAGCTGCCGGTGAGGCTGGTTTGTTCGATCTTCCCGCTGATCACCCTCGCGCTGCTGGCTGCAAGATCCCCAACCACACCGTGCTGAACTTGGAGGTGCCTCTCTGCCTTGACGTTGCTGCAGCTATTGGAGTGGAGTTTCTGACTGATGATCAATAAAGGTTATGGCGGCTGTCACCCTCCTACTCCAGTGGTTCCTCTGAGTTTCCCTCACCCAGATCTGTTGTAACTAGGTAGTTTTTGTTACTATCTTTGGGGTGTATAGCTGCCAAAGATTATGTTTCTCTGTGTATTTTCAGAATACTTTTTCTTTCGTTGTTGGGTCTGTCCTGCTTAACTTGAATTTGTGATCTTCTAACTTTACCCGCTGAGTGTTTCCTTGTCCTGGTGGATGAGGGCTCAGCTTTATTTGTTCTGTGACTGACCTGCTGAATGTTTACTCTGCCTTGGTGGTCAAGGGTTCAGCCTTATAATGTATGCTCCTTATGATCTCCTCTTGCTGCTTTTCTTGCTGTTTATTTCATTGTCTGCATGTTTGCTCTTTATTACATTTGGCGGGGCCTCGTAGGTTGGGCCTTCCTATCTTTTTAATTTAGCTGCCTAGCGCTTTTCTGTTTCTTTTGCGCTCTGTTGTGCTTCAGCAGGGACTTTGTTACATTTTGTCCTTCCTGCTTTATCTGCTTCAAGTGTTTGCGCGTTGTGTACTTCACTTGGCTTTGACCAAAGGCTTCGTCTGCGTGCTGGTTGACATATTTGATTGAGCGTTATTCGACTTATCCTTGCTGAGACTTGTTTGTGTCGATCAGCTTTTTGCTTATTTCGTCTGTGTCATCAGCTTGCTTTGCTGTGACTTATTTGTGTCATTTAGCTTATTTATGCTGCGACTTGTTTATGTCGTTCAGCTTGTTTATGCTGTGACTTATTTATGTCATTCAACTTATTTATGCTGCGACTTATTTATGTCATTCAGCTTGTTTATGCTGCGACTTATTTATGTCATTCAGCTTGTTTATGCTGCGATTTATTTATGTCATTCAGCTTGTTTACTGCCTGCTTACTTCTTTTTGTAAGGGCTTGCTGCTTGACTGTCTTCTCCTTTCCTCTCCCCCCCTCGAAGAGATGGGCTGAATGGGACTAAGAGAACCTTAGTGTTTCCCATGTAGCTCATCTTCTTCTTTTCCTCTCTTCTCCCCTGCTCAAGCTGAATGTGTCAGGCTCCCCCTCAAGCGTCCCCGAGGTGGTGCCCTGTTTTGCTTTTTGCAGGTGAAGTGAGGTTTTAAGGAGGGATGCTTTCACTTTGTCATTTTGCGCTAGAGTGCTTCTTGCCTCTAACACTTTATTATTATTCTTGTTTGATTTCTGCATGTTAGTATATGATGCTTGGGCATACTATATTAAACAAATTTATGCAACATACTCCTCACGCAGAGGCTTGTATTTCATTGAACAAAAATGGCTCAAATGCCTTAATTAACATATCATGGACTGAATAAAGATTTATCGACTTGAAACAACTATGTTTCAGGCTATTTAAACAAAATATTTCTTTAACACATCAGCATTGAAACTGTTTCTTAAGACCTGACCTTCTTGATCTGCAAGGCGGAACGCGCCTGGTCCAACCTGCTCGTGGATGATGAAAGGGCCTTCCCAGTTTGCTGACAGCTTTCCATGCTGATTTCCTCTTCCAACTGCTGTTGTCCTCCTGAGGACTAAGTCTCCTGGCAGGAGCTCCCTGTGCTTGACCCTTTTGTTGAAAGCTTTTGAGATCTTGCTCTTTTGGGCTGCCAGCTTAAGGGATGCTTTTAGCCTTACTTCTGGCAGGAAGTCTAGCTCTTCTAGCATGCGGTTTTCATTTCCTTGTTGCTCATAGTGTTGTATCCTCAGGCTAGGGATTTGCACTTCCACAGGGACAACTGCATCAACCTCGTAGGCCAGGGTGAAAGGGCTTTTACCGGTTGACTCATTCTCAGTGGTCCTATTTGCCCACAAGACCTCTGGGACTAAGTTTGCCCACAAGCCCTTGTACTCCTCCAACTTCTTCTGTAGGGCTGTCAGGATCAGCTTGTTTGCTGCCTCTGCTTGGCCATTGCTTTGCGGGTGGAAGACTGAGGCACTTGCATACTTGGTGCCCATATCCCCCAAGTATCCCTTCATGGTGTCACAGTCAAATTGGCACCCATGATCAAAGACTATGCACCGTGGCACCTCGAATCTAGTGATGATGCTCTTCCATATAAATGTTCTGACCTGGGTTGCCTTTATGTACTTGGTGGGCTCAGCTTCTATCCACTTTGTAAAGTAATCTACTGCCACAATCAGATACTTCCTGCCCGCTAACCTAGTGGTGAAAGGTCCCAATATGTCCATTCCCCACTGAGCGAACGGGATCGGGCTGAGGATTGGAGTCAGATCGTTTGCTGGCTGATTTATGACTGGTGAATATTTTTGACACTTGTCGCATTTTTTGACATATGCTAGTGCGTCTTGCGTGAGAGTTGGCCAATATGCCCCTCTTCTAAGGACCTCTACTCCCTATGCTTTCCCGCCGATATAGTTGGCACATATTCCGGAGTGGGCTTCTTCCATAATGCCCTCTTGCTCCTATTCTGGAATACACCTCAGCAGCGGCTTTTGAGAAGCCTTTCTTGTTGAGCTCTCCATTCATCACTACATACCAATTTGCGTTTTTCTTCACCTTTTTAGCCTGTGCTTCATCATCGGGCAGCGAGCCATGAAGTTTGTACGCCAAGATGTCTGAGAACCAGGCTCTTTGACTCTTGACGCAGTTTACCTGCTCCTTTTCAGCGATTCTGCTCTCCTTTAACACTTCGACCATCACCGTTCTTGTGAGGCTTTGTAAGGTGGAGCTGGCTAACTTAGATAAGGCGTCAGCCTGAGAGTTTCCTGCTCTAGGGACCAAGTCTATCTGGAAATGGACTAACTGGGCTGCCAGCTCTTTCACTTTGGTTGCATATTTCATCATAGTGGCTTCCCTTATCTCATACGCCCCCTGCAGCTGGCTGGCAACGAGCTGAGAATCAGTCTGCAGGTGTACTTTGCGGGCTTCGGCTGCGAGGCCCATACGCAGGCCTGCCAGCGTCGCCTCGTACTCTGCTTTATTATTAGACGCTTTGAACTTGAACTTGATGGCATACTCAAATACGTTTCCTTCTGGAGACGTCATTATGACTCCTGCCCCACTCCCCGTTTGGGCTAAGGATCCATCCACTTCCACCTTCCAGACCCCAACGTCATCCTCTTTCTCCTCATAGGAGGCTTCCACTATGAAGTCTGCTAAAGCTTGTGCCTTGATGGCTGCTCTAGGCTTGACCTCGAATTCATACTCAGAAAGCTCGATTGCCCACTTTAAGAGTCTACCCGATGCATCCATCTTTTGTAATGCTTTCTCCAGCGGGTGGTTTGTGAGGACCTCTATTATATGCGCGTCAAAGTATGGTTTTAGCTTTCTTGCTGCTGTGACCACTGCGAAGGCTAGCTTCTCTACCAGGGGGTATCTTTGCTCTGCCTCGGTCAGCACGTGGCTCACGAAATATATCAGCCTTTTTTGCTTCTGTCTTTCTACCAGCAGAACGGCTGCGATTGTATGTATTGACGCTGAGATGTACAACTGTAGTTTTTCCATCACCTCAGGGCTGATCATTGTTGGGAGCTTAGTCAGATGCTCCTTAATACCCTCAAAGGCTTCTTTCTCCTTAGTCCCCCACTTGAATTCTCTGTTTCCTTTCAACAGCTGATAGAATGGCAAGGCTTTGTCTGCTGACTTGCTGATGAATCTGGTCATTGCGCCCATTCTGCCAGTCAACCGCACGATATCTTTGATGCTCTTAGGCTCGGGCAGATTGAGGACTGCTTCGATCTTTTCTGGGTTGGCATCTATTCCTCTCTCGCTGATCAGAAAACCCAAAAACTTTCCAGAGCTCACTCCAAAGACATATTTTTTCGGGTTGAGCTTGATTCTATACTTGTTCAGGGTGGCAAATGTTTCCTCCAGATCCATGATATGTCCAGCGTGCGTGACGCTCTTAACAATTGAGTCTTCAACATATACTTCCACATTTCTTCCCTTCTGGTGAAGGAATACTCTATCCATTGCCTTCTGAAAAGTTGCTCCAGTGTTCTTCAGCCCGAAGGGCATAGCTATGTAATTATACACTCTCCCTTCGGTGATGAATGCAGTTTTCTGCCTGTCTGGATCGTGCAGGCTGATCTGATGGTACTCTGAGAAGGCGTCCATAAAGCTTAGCAGGGCGTGCCCGCTGGTTGAGTCTACCAGTTGATCTATCCGTGGTAGTGGGTAACAGTCCTTCGGGCAGGCTTTATTAAGATATGTGAAATCAACACACATTCTCCATTGGCCATTTGCCTTCTTCACCATGACCACATTGGCTAACCATTCTGGATAGTCACAGGGTTCAATAAATCCTGCTTCCAAGAGTTTTTCCACCTCTTTTTGGATTGCCTGGTTTTTCTCCGTGGAGAAGCTTCGCTTTTTCTGCCTGAATGGCCTTATATCCTCCTTCACATTCAGCTTATGCACCATGACTGCTGGGTCAATTCCGGGCATCTCATATGCGGAAAATGCAAAAATGTCTTTATTCTTTCTCAACAGCTCTATGAGGTGCACCCCTACTCCTGGATCAATGTCTTTTCCAATCTTCACCGTCCTCGAGGGATCACCTTCTGTGAGCTCGACTGTGACATGCTCCCTGCTGGGAAGTGGTCTAGTCATTTCTTCTTTTGCAGGATCGAAGTTTTCCATTGCCAACTTCTGTTTATCTTTTTCCCTGTGATACTCTTCACGCTTCCTTTTCCTTGACTTCCTCTCAAGTTTCTTAGGGAGCCTTCTCTCGGAACCGGACTGCTGTCTGGTTTTGGCAGGCTGCTTTAAGGCAGTTATGTAACATTGTTGGGCTGTCTTCTGGCTTCCCCTGAGCTTTGCTGACCAACCCTCATTAGTTGTGTACGCCATGGCCAGGTGGTAAGTGGATACCACCCCGCCTATCTTGTGGATGAGCGGTCTTCCCATGATTACATTGTAGGGTGAAGGGGAGTTTATCACGAGAAATTCTGCTCGAACATCACGTCTTTTTGACCTCTCTCCTACCCGGACTGAGAGTTCGATTATGGCTTCTAGGGTAATCCCTGAGCCATTAAACCCAGTTACCTCGTAGTTTACTCTCTTCAGGTCTTTTCTGTCCAACTTCAGCTCATTGAACGCACTGATGTATATGATGTTGGCTGAGCTGCCTCCGTCTATCAGTATTCTATCCACCTCCCAGTTTGCAATTCTCATTGTCACCACCAACGGGTCATCATGAGGGTAAATTATGCCCTTCTGGTCATACTCGTTGAACGTGGCTCGTGGCTGCGAGGGAAGAGGTGGCCATCTACGCTTATCATTGTCGTTTATTTGATGTATCATCGCCCGCAGGTCAGCCCGCGCTCTATTAACTGTCCCCCCATGTACTAGACCCCCGCTGATCATGTACACCCTGCCCTCTGGCTTGCCATCTCTATCCTTGTCTCCAGCTGGGCCCCTCTGACCTCCTCTGCGGTCAGCTCGACCCGCTCTATCCTCCTCCCTTCTTCTGGGAGGGTCACCACGCTGCTTAAATTGACTCAAGTATCCTCTTCTGACTAAGTCCTCTATGTTGTCCTTCAAGTGCGTGCATTCTTCAGTGGTATGGCCATAGTCCCCGTGAAAGTCACACCACTTACTAGTATCACGACTCCTGTTTACCATCCTTGGAGGCCTCTACCACTTATCATCAGCCTTATTTACGCTGAATATGTGAGATATGGAATGGGTTAGTGGGGTATACTGATCAAACTTCCCAGGCCTTGGCCCTCTCCTTGGATCAGACCTTCTCAGTCCCACTGCCCTGTCCGCTTCTCTGCGGCTTTGCTCAGCTCTGCTTGGCTGGTCCACCCTGGGTGTGTTCTCTGCCCGGGTGACCTCTGCCCGCTTAACTGAGTCACCTGTTGCTTTTCTACCCAGCATTGCTCTGTTAGTCTCGTCTGCTTTGATAAACTCATGCGCTTTACCCAGCGCTTCAGCGAGTGTTTTGAAGCTCTTACGCCCCATATACGCTCTGAATGGTGTCCCTAGCAGTAGGCCACTCTGTATTGCTAATAGCGCTACTTCCTGGATCATATTTGGAATGGTTGTTGCCTCCTTGTTGAATCTGGTGATGAACTCCCTCAGAGGCTCATTCTTTCCCTTAACCAGGGACATCAGCTCGGTTGTCATCTTGGTTCTGTCTACCAAAGTTATGAAATGCTCCATGAACATTCTCTTCAGCAGGCTGTACGAGTATACAGAAAATTTGGGGATGGCGCCGTACCGTTCCGCTGCCAGCCCCTCCAGAGTTGGTGGGAAAGCCTTACACCAGACTGAGTCCGTCATGGTGTAGAGTACCATATGATTCTCGAAAGCTGATATGTGGCTTTTGGGTGTTGTGGTTCCATTGTACTTGCAGCTCGGCATCTTCACCTTCTCCATGGGTTCTTCCAGAATCTCCCGGCAAAATGGGGAATCATCTGGAACAACCTGGGTTCGCGCTCGTTTATCTCTCTCCGAGCTGGGTCCTCGCTCTGCGGCCGGCGACCTACTGCGAGGGACTCGCTTCTCTGGGCTGATTCGAGCGGGGATTATTTCCTCCAAGCTCCATTCCCGATTCAGGTTGCGAGCTTCCAGCTCCAATACCTTTTTCCTCAGCTGAATGAGCTCTTTCTGCTCCGGGGTGAGAGTTGAGACTTCCGGCTTTTTCGCTGCGGGCTTCGCAGCTGCCGTTGTCGGTGATGGGCTTGCCCCCTTACCCATATTGGTAAGGATTGCTGTCATTGCAGCCAGCTGCTCCTTGGTGCACTTAGAGAGGTTCTGCAGAATGGCTGGCATGTTTACGGGCTATGGTTTCTGGGTTGCAGGTGCTGAGACAATAAGCTCATTGAACGCACCTGTTAACGGCATTCCGTACTTGAAAATAGAGTTGGATCCTACCGGATCTATTGGTTTCGCCGCTGCTTTAGCAGTGGCTGATGTCAATCCGATGGGGTTGGATTTCTGCGAGATGGTCGATTTGGGGTTTCCGGTGGATCCTTTTGGATCGCTGGTTACTGGGGGTGTTTTTTGTGGTGTTTGGCCGGTCTCATTAGTTTTGGACGTGGGTGTTTGTACAGTTTCTTCTCCGGCCATGGTGGTTGTTAACTAGTCCCTAGCTCAGTTGGTGAACCTCATGTTAGATGATCCAATCCCCTCCTTCTAGCGCCAATTGTTCCAGGTATGGATCCAAGGGTTCTGCTGGGTAAGCTGGGTCCCGTTAACAACCTACACACGGTAGCACACATAAACTATCCTCAGGGGTGGCTCGAGGAACCCCCCTCCGAAGCTTAAGTTAGAGAGTGTTTAGAGAGAGAAAGTGTACTTAGAGAGATATAGAAAGTGTAATAACTTGAGTGTCTGACCTCTTTTCCGTTGTACTTTACCCTCTATTTATAGGCGTACTATCTCCTTCGTGGAGAGTTTAGCCTGGTCAGCCCTGCGGGCTGACTCTGCCGGGCTGATGAGCCCTCCTTTAGCTGCTTATTCGGCGGTGAGTGTGCACCCTGGGGGCTGGGCGATAGTTCAGCGGGAGCTATCCTATACAATTATTATTATTTCGGGTAAAAAACAATGGGACCTTGCCGAAGGTCCTTCTAAAGTGGCTGAAGACTGGGCTCTGTCCAAGTAATGCTGGACCGAGGGTTTCCTACACAGCAAACACACGTAAACTGGCCTCGGGGGTTGTGCCGAGGAAGGCCCCTCCGATGCCAAAGTCAAACAGTGCTTAGAGAGAGAAAGCTATGCAAGAGTATTTAATGCTTGAGGCAATATGTGAAAGAATGATAAATGGTACAATTGATGGCTTTTATACCTTAGCATAATGAGAAATAATGGGCTTGAGGCCAAGTGAGCTGACCACGTTGACTGGGCATTGACTTGACTTGGCATGAATTGGAGACTTGTACCTTGACCTCTGGCTTTGATGTAATCATTTATGGACCAGGCCCAATTAGGCTTAATTGGACCCAAACAACTTGCCCCCCAGACCCGATTTGGAAGGATGACGGGTCGGGTTTGGATTTAATAAAAAATGGAGGGAAGTAAATGATTTAATTAAATCAAAATACTACCTTCGGTCCAATTTACTCACAACAAAGGGGTATTATTTATGAGACATAAAATATTCCTTTGTTGCGAGTAAATTGGACCGGAGGTAGTATTTAAATTTTTAAACAGTCATTAATGAAATAACTGTAATTTGGATAATAATTGAGGAAGTTGAATGGATAATGGGCAGTTAACTTGAAGGATGTGCGTTTAACGGTTACTTAATAAGTAATTAAAGAGAGATTAAAAGCGCGAACTCCTAGAATTCCCCATTTCTGGAAATATAACTGGAACTATGCACTTCCTCTCCTCATTTCTTCACCAATTCACACTCCCAACTCAAGCAAAACACTTGATTCCATCTTGAAACTTCGCTGAATCCTCGAGATAAAAGCCTTGAAACTGAAATTCGTTGCTCCAAACTCTTAGATTGGCTAATTCCATGTCTCATAAAGGTAATTTTCTTCGAATTTAGTTTGGTTTTCTTTAATTTTTGAAGTACCCTCTATTTTCGCGATTTTTCTTCCATTTTTCGGCGACCCTAAACCATGGCTAGAGGTAGAGCCCGCGGGGGCCGATTTCCCAGGGAACCCCATCCTAGGGACCGAGTCAGGAATACCCAGGGTGAGGGGAACTGTAGACACCCATTTGTGTCTCCCCAAAACCAAACCCAGTGATGAGTACCTTTCGCGTCGAATCATAATCGAATGAAGTGAAAGTGTGGAAAGTCTAGTGTTGCGGTTAGTTTTTAATTCTTTTCTTTCTCTCTGTTTTTGAAAACCTATTTTATGAAAACAGCCAATCCAGTTTGGTTTGGTCCATAGCAAGGGTCCAATAATAGTGTAGCTGGATGGGGCTTGAAAAGAGCTTTCCAACGATGAATTATAAGCCCAATTCTGATGAATAATGAGGGAGTTATGGCCAAATTACTAAACTGGGCCCGTTTTGATATTTAGGTGTGGCCCAATGATCTAGAGGAGGGCCTAATATTGATTTATCATTCCTAATGCAATTAGAATTGATTTTAGTCTTCTATATTCTTCTAGAAGGTTCTTTCATTCCTAATTTAATTAGCATTGATAAATTGACTTTAGTTAACTTTTTAGAGTGTTAATCAGAATAAAAAAGTGTTTTTAAGGAAATACGATTTTACCCTTCTGTACGGCTAAATTTTATCAAAATTAAGAAAATGCGTGAAATTATTTTCTAACGCCTGACACTAGCCTTAGTGCCTGGCGCTAATGCCTGGCGTCTGGCGCTAGGTCTGTTTTATTCTCTTCGAAACTCTGATTTGTTTTTCTATCCGTCCGGCTGATTTTCTCTATAAATAGCCTCCTAAAACCTCCGTTTTCAATCATCAAGAATAAAAAACAACTAGTTTTCAAGATTTCTCTCTCTCTCTAGCCTTTTGCATACAAAATTCTGCATCAACGAGATTTAGAAACACCTAGCCAAGTTCAAAGTTGCTTTCGCCCTAGACGTGTTAATTTCTGAGGGTTTGGTCCCAAATCTCTCTTTCAATTTTTTAATTTAATTGTTTGATTTATATTTTCCTTGAAGTTACTAACGCGTGTATTTTGTTATTATAAAGAGGTACGAGGCATCTAAGTAAGTGCTTTAATTGATTTTATTGATATTATGATATAGAAATCATGTATAGGGTGTTATTATGATTCCTAGTGTCATGTTACGACATTTTGATCTTCCTAGTATCATGTTTAGGGTAACAACTATAATTTCTAATATCAAATATGACAATTGTGATTCCTGCAATGCCTTTTATTCCTTTCCTAATATCATGTTAGAGCTATATATTTGATCTTTGATGTTTAGTGACATGCTAGGGTTTGTTATTAATTTTGTTAGTATCATGCCTAGGATCTTGCTATTATTGTTATGCTTTAACATGATTATGATTATGATTATGGTTATTTTTATAATTGTGATTATTATGTTGCTTGTTATATTTATTGTTATTGCTTGATCACACATTTTATGCATCTTTAAAGGGAATTTGCACTTGTAATCACATTTAATAAGATAATTAATAATCTTGTTTAGGGTTAATTTGATTATAATTCAAGTGATCGCCAATAATAGTTTTATTTGGGCATTAATATTTAACCAACATAGATAAACAAGTTTAGGGTTAATCCTATTGATTGCATGTTAGTCAGAAAGCGCACATGAATACGATCAGAATAAAGTAGAGGCCTATTATCAAGGCAGGTTCAATCTCTTTTAGGTTGGATTTGTACCTTCATCCCGAACTACCAGTCATGGTTCCAGACCTATTGGAGTTGACGATCTCCTGGATCTTTAAGGTGTGTAACCTTCACCTCGTGAACGGTTTACAAGTTCCTAAAACTTGTTGGCGACTCTTTTGCTCTAGCTTCCTTCCCTTTGGACGCCACCGTACTTTAGTGTATGATCACAGTGGGGTTCAAGCTAGGGATAATTCTTGAAATATTCCCTACAGTTTTTGGCGACTCCACTGGGGAGGATTTCTAGTTTAATTCTTGAAATTTATTTCGGCAATGATTTAGAATGAGTGGATGAGACTCGAAAAGTTCTAAGTATTTCATGTGCGTAAT